CAGCCCACCTGTTAATATTACTGTCAAATGGAATAGTGAGCCATGTTCTTTTTGTATTTGTTATTACTCTGATAACATTACAACGGTTTCAATACAATATCTAAATTTGGAAATACAGTATCTCCATGGACGTCAAGGCTGGTACTACGAAAATATTCTTGGTAACGGCGAATTTACATTTCATACAACATGAATTTTGTTCTCACCATTGAGTGCATTTATTTTCGATCACAGGCGAATTTACTTTCCGGAAAGACTGTATAACAATGATTGTCAACGTGTAGAGCAGAATTTAGTAAAAATAAACTACATTTTACAACTAATAACTAAATTACTCTATTATTATGGTATCAGCTGTTTGATGAGATGCATCAAAGTGATTACATATAAATATGACTTTATTACAATATCCATTTCATTAAGCTTATCCAACTGCAAACACATTGCATAAAAATAGGTGGTAATTGGTAATCTACATCCAAAGCTCCTATCACAACAGTAGACCCTAATCCCATACACAAACAGATGACTCTGTTGTAAATTGGTTTAGCAATACAGTGAGATCGCTTTTGAAAGAAATGAGCAGGTTCAGGCACCGAAGTTGACGATGATCATGTCGGAGCCTGAACTGACGTGTGGTGGTGCATAAATCTCATTCTAATCAGTCTCTATCTCTTACACAGCAGTTGAAGCACTTGCGCAAACAGGGCATTGTCATATCTAACTAACTGGAAATTCCTTGAAAATGTTAGTTTTGACACGTTGAAGAAATACATGGTCGAATACCCTGTAATGAAATCTCTACGTATTGTATAGCAAGAAGCTAGTCGATAAAAAACAATAACTAATAAAGTATTTACAAAGATCAAATTTGTAACGTCGCTTTAGTACATTTTGCCACTGAAATTGATGCTGATATTATCAACACCAGTGCAAATACGTCTGATATTGATGTTTAGAATCCAAAACTCAACATAACAAAAAGATTAAAAATCATTCAAACATTATCATGATTATAGTTGAGTGATAACTGTTCACACCCTTCCTCTTCCCTCTTTTTGTTTCAAAGGAAGATATTATTACTGCATTTTATTTTTAGGTTGTACAATTCGAACAAATAAAGAAAATAGTAATAACAAAAGTGTATCAGGATTACAAGAAAAGAGAGCTGAGATGCTTTGAAAGAGTTTCAACATTTGACTAGCATTCGATTATTTATATGTTACTTCATAAACTCTTGGGTAACCTTCAAGCACATTGTCGCCCCCTTAAAATAGAAAAAGTCATCCTATGCGTTGTTGTATATTAAAAAAAGTAAAAATATACATGCACCTTTGTCTTTTTCTTTCATTATAAAACATGCCTCAAGAACATCCTTTTCAAACCAGCTTTTGGTCTCCAACCGCCACTGTTGACAACTATCCCAATTTTCGATACGGTTTTGACATTCTTCACAAGAAACTTGCTCAATCTGTGACTGAGAATGAAGCGATTGCAAATTACATTCAGGAGAGAATCGAAGCTGAACGACATCACGGCACTCAGTTATCAAAACTACCTCATCCCGAGCTAGACGAACTGACCACTCTCTCACGATGCTTCCAGGTCGTCTGGGCTGAAAGTGAAGCCTCAGCAACAGAACACTGGACACGCGCAGAAAATTTACATACGACAGCTTTGGATCCTCTGAAAAGATTAGCCAGTCGATACAGTCGAATTGTCAGCAATGCTAAACAGACATTAGAACAACAGATGAGTCAGTTTGAAACACTTGTCAAGCAACTGGAACAAGCGAAATCAGCCTATCATGCCAAGTGTCGGTCTCTCTTGACGATCCAGCCCAACTATCGACCGACCGTCATTCAGTTGGGCACTCTCTTGTTCTATGAACGGTTCCAGGTCGAGGATTGGATGCGACCCCTGAATGAAACCGGATTGACCAGACGGGAGATTGTTCATTGGCTGCAGGACGAGCATCAGTCACCGTCGGTGATGCATGATCTCATTGGACTTCATTTTCTCAGACAGACAGGGCAGGACCAGTATGAGAAAGTGGTTCGACAGCCAGTGTCCAAGGGTCTCTATGGACTTTTCAAGTGGCAACAACAACAACAACAACAACAGCCGATGGAACCGTATGTAAGAGATATGCTTCAAGCAGATAAAGCCTATCGTGAGCTTGTGACCAAGGTAGACAAGATGCGTATGCAGACAGAAGAAGCATTGTTTATGCATTATGAAGAAATGGAAAGTTTAGAGTTGGAACGAATACAGACGATCAAGCAAGGTAAATAAGTATAAAATGTTGACCCATCTAAAAGCTATGTAGTGTTTATCAGCGTCGCAGCTTCATTATCCAATACGATACCGAGATACAAAGAAACAGTGGACAACATGATGCTCTATCAGGAGACACTGAAACCCGATAAGGATGTTCAGGTCGTTGTGGAGCAATACAGGACAGGTCAGTTCTGTCCTCGACCGGTTCTGTATGAGAATTATTTTTATGGAGCAGCACATCATCAATTGTTTGGCGTTGCATTGGATGAGGTCACCAGGACAGAGGGCACTTTGATTCCCAACTTTATGTCCAAAGGAATGTCTGTGATTGAATCTGGTAAGCATGAAACCAACGTACGACCGTACACTGACATTTTACACATACACAAATACAACAAATTAGGACTTGCCAATTTAGAAACAGAAGGTTCTTTTTTTATATCCTAACTACACCCAAGCAATAGCAGCCCATTGACTCTTTTATGTATTTTATAGAAAAGCACCTCGTGTGGATAACCAGTTTACCACTCGACCGAGTTCATGCAGCCAGAGATCAGATCAATCAACAGTATCCAGTGATAAGTCAAGAGTTATTGGAGAGTTATGATGTATTGTTGATTGCTTCTCTAATTCGATTATACTTGATGGAGTTGCCTGAATGTTTATTGACCTTTGAATTATATGAACCTTGTAAGATTATTTATTCCAATCGTAAGTTTTTATTATTATTATTATTATTATTATTATAGATGTGTACTGATAATTACCTTTTTTTTTCTTTCCTTTTTTAGAGCAAGATACAGAGACAAGATTAGTATCGGTGAACAAATTACTGACGACTCTACCTACACCCAATTACCACATGTGTAAAGTACTCTTTTCGCACTTGAACAAGTAAGAAAGAAAAACGAATAAAAGATACATAATATCAACGAGATCTATTTGTTTACATATAGATTGTGTGATGACCAAACACTATCCAAACGATTTGCACACTCTTTTGGTTATGTTTTATTACGACCACAAGTAGAATCTAAAGTGAGTACATTTGAGCGACATCCATATCGACTGATACAAGACCTGATTGAACATTACGATTCAATATTTACAACAGAATCAATCAAAGCGCAAGAAGAGAATTCGTGTCGAACGTCCATTGTGGTCAGTAAGACATCTCTGGACAGCTTAGATTCCTCACGACGACGTATCCGAGGACATTTGATACCGTCATCGAGTACCCTGTTTGAAGATCCGGATGAATTGACATCAGAGTCTACAATGAATTCAACACCGCCTAATTATGTAGGCAAGGAAGATACCCTCGAATTGGCCAGCTTGGACTCGTTTTTTTTAGATGATGAATAGCACTTTAGAAAACAAGAAAAAGCTGTCTACTTGTACCACATCACGGGGAGTTTCCCGGATACCTATTTTTTTTATTATTAAACCCCGATGTTGTTGTCGTCGTTCTTATTCCGATAGACACACACACACACAGAGGTAAAAAATAGAGAGAGACAACGTTTAAGATGCCGAAAGTTCATTATTCTCTCATTTTATAATATTTCCCTCATCTGAAAGCCACATTGTGTCTTTTTTTTTCTTATTGACAAGTGACACGGGAGAAAGAGAGAGTTTTCAAACTTTAATTGAACTGTCAAAATAAATAAGCCAATAAGACAGATGGAAGAAAAAGTGTATGACAACAACATGCCACATCCTCATGTTTTCTGTACAACAAAATATGAGTTTATTCATAAATGGGGACTTAGTTAAGGAAAGAAGAGGGGTATAATTTACATAAGTATTTACATAAAGGCCTTTTTGTGTGTGTGTGTGCGTGTTTTTGTGTGTGACATAATTCATACATACATATGAAAAGGAATGCTATATAAAGAGTTCGTTTTGCCTAAAGGAATAGAATAAAGAAGGGAAAGGGAGGATAATAAACGATTAAACGATCAAATGATTATTATTTTGAAAATCTATAAAAGAATGAATAAACATGATTCATAATAATATATTTACAATTACCTGTTGTCATCAAGATGGGTAAATCAGATAAAGTAGGTGAAGAAGTAATAGAGGACTTGCAACTAAACGTATCGTCACAGTCACCTTCAGGTGTGTTTGAGATTTGCTCATCGTCATCTTCAAGATCGTCATCACTTAAAGACGCCATTTGTAAAAATAAGGTTCTGTTGGCTTTACGTAGCTGATCAATTTGGTATTTAAATTCCTGTTCCTTTTGAACAGTTTGTTTGACTATTATAAATAGATGTTTGTACATGTTTTGTGTTTATAAAAAGAGATGTAATTACCATATTCAAGTGTACGCTCAATGATCGTTCCTTTTGAAGGACGACGATCATGCTGAAGGTTGGGTAAAGAAAGAGCAAGTTGTTGAAATTTGGTGTTCAAAACCTCACGTCGTTGACGTTCAATGGCATTGTGTTCAGCTCTCTTTTGAGCTTTTTCTGCCATGTTTGGGCTCCCTTCCAAACCAAATGGGGGAGAAGACATGTAACTTTATTTAAGGTTAATTAATAAGCATTTAATAATCCAAGTTTCTTTTATTATGACTTACTGTTGTTGAGGATAATAATAATAATCATGAATGTATGCAGGTTGCTGTTGTGGCTGTGGCTGTTGTTGTTGTTGTTGTTGATGATGATAATAGAGCACTAAAGGGTATACATAAATATCAATGTATATCTTATATTGTCATTCTTACTTTGTTGATGCATCAAAGCTCTTTGTTGCTGTAAGGCGGCTTGATGTTGAACTTGACGAAGCCTTTCAAGTTCCTTTTGTTGATAATGATTGATCCATTCGTCATTGGCTAACGAAGGATGATCAAATGATGAATGATAAACAGATTGAATAGAATTCATTTATCGAAAGAAGAAAAAAAAAAAAAAGTAAAGAGGAAAATAAAAGAAGAAAAAAAAAAGATTGCGTTTATAAAGAAGAGAGAGAAAAAAAAGTAAAAAGTAGCGCACAGATGATGGATGTTAAATATGGTCTGATGTGTCCAATCATATTAAATATTTTTGGAAAGAAAGAAAGAAGGCAAGAAGCGTCGGTTTAAACTTGTATTTTGTATTAAATCGGTTTAACTTGTAAAGTGATTCCTAAAGAAAGGGAGGGTCGTACAGGTTGTCAATATGATTGGATAAACTAGCCGTTAACACAAACACACAGACACGGAAGGGGATGATTTCTTTATTTTAAACCTTTATCATTCATGGGTGCACGAGCCTCAGTCATCCGTGTCTATGAAGTCTAGACGATAAACAAAAAAGTAATTTGATCAAGGTTACACACTGAGACAAGTGATGAAATGTCTGTGTTGTAATACTAAAATAGATTTATCTCTCTTTTTCATATGACTGCCCGCGTGCAGCCTTCAACTTGTTTTTCAATTAAAGAAGGTATAACAAAGCTGAGAAATAGAGAGATATCATGCACGGAACCCGTTCCGTCTGTGTTATCATTCGGCTTATATCCATATAGGAAACATCCTACCTTCGGGGTTACGCCGATCTTGCAAAATGAACAAGAAGCAGGGTATCAGCCCATTTTTGCTTACTTTTTAGAGTATATAAATTCACCGCACAGACAAGTGGTTGCTCATCAGGGGTGTCTATATTCTGTCATACATGAACACACGATAATTATCCGATTACATCCTTTTTTTTCTGTATATACATCCCTTTTATAATATCCATGTTGTATCTCCCCGCTTATTTTTCATTCATGTGTCGGTCTCTGAAGGGGACTTGTACCTTTAGGGAAGTCACGGGGGATGTTCATTACCCCCCCTTGAAAATTAAGGTACGCCTGCATTTTTTTTTTTTTGCTGCAAGCAAGGCTTTAAGACGCTTTATGTGGTACATTTTCTCAGAACAGGCGTAAGTGTGAGCCCTGAATCTGACTCTGGATCTTGAACGCCCAGCTTGTTACAGTAAGATATCCCCTTTCTGTGGCTATTTTGCTGCAGATAAGCAAAGAAAGTCTGCTGAAGGATGAAGCATTTTGAGTACCAAATACATCGAAACGACAGAGAAATCATTAATATATAAGAATCTATAAATGGAAGAAAGGAAAACGTATCAGAGGGGGATGATAATCACTTGTAAAGCTCTATTTCTGACGTGCAAATGATGCAATCTCAATAAAAATGAGTGACTTCAGCGATAATCCTACAGATATAAAAACATCACGCCATTCATATTTACTGTTAACAGCTCTTTATCCTTTATTGAATTAACTGTTGTAGACACAATGTACAAAGGGATTAGACTATTGGTCATCGGCTTGGCCGGAGTGCCTACGCCGTCGGAATGACATACAAGACATTCTGATGTAACCTTAAAAAAAGAAAAAAAAGAAAAAGCTAGCAGGTAGACCTACTAATTTTATTCTACTATCCAAGAAGTAAATTGTTGATCATGGCTGCAAATTTGAAGTCTTGTTTTTGTTTTCAACTTTATATGACAAGAAGTTTAAGCACACAAGCTTGGCCCTGTAAGACATCCGACATCCAAATAAACAGTGATCAACACGTTTTTTGCAGACTGGGTTGGCTGTCATGTGATCCACGTGTCTGTATCTTTTCATAGTCTTGTTGCTTATTTTTTTCTCAAGCACTACAGCAAGAACTTTAAATCTGTCCATGGTTTGTTTAAGCTGTCAGGATGGCATATGCTGAGATACCTTGCAAATAAAGCATCTCTTTTCAATCTGAAAGATACGGCAAATAGACACTCCGAGTGTTCCTGTGTGCCCTAGAATAAAGGGCAATTGATAATGACTATTGCTATCTGATGACACAAACATATCTGAAGAGACCCCATTTGATTCGGAGAAAGTCTTTACAGGTACGCAACATTTGCGCAACCACTGAATGTTTTACTCGGCCATTCTTCAAACATGTGGAGGGAAGCTTGCATCCACGTTCGCTTTACTGTCGTTGCACCAAACCTCATTTACACCTGTAAAAGTGCTCTTTTACTTACTAACATATCCGTACGTAAAGACCCTGTGGGTAAATATTTCTTTGCGACACTGATTGTATGTTTTCCCTGAAAGGTGAGCATGTAAATTTGAAATACTGGTCCAAATAAGATTCAATCACAGAAAGAAAAAGGTCTGGGAAAGCATTTGATTGGCTCATTTAACCTACTTCGGATTCTGCTGTTTGCTAAATATTCTTCCTTTTCAGCTGCTTGGTAAATCTGTTATTTTAGACCCTAACTTGTACGAGGCAGACACAAAATAACACTGGTTGCTCTGAGTTTTGACCGGTTTAGCAACGGATATTAAAGATTTAAGAATAAACTAAAGGGAAAAGAAAGACCATCCAAACAGAGCACACACACTGAATACCATCGTTGTCGTTATATAGTTAATATTGATCACTACGACTGACTGTAGAAACATACAAAGAGAACAATTACTTTATCAAACGCCAGCAAACGTACTCTGATAATTATCAGTTCCGCAATTAGAAGAAGGTCTTCAAGTTCGGAATTTACTTTTTACTATTCTGCTGTATTCCGGAAAATAGCCTATTGCCATTTTCCCTATAAAAAAAACTAACCTGTGACTTTGCGTCTTTATTCTATTTTTAGCTACTTCTTCTTTCTTTAAAAAGGAAACCTTTTTTTACATCTGATTTACTCCTAAAAAAAAGCTCATGGTAACATGAATCATAATAAACTGAATTGAAGGAAAGAAAGAAAGAAAAAAAAACTAGAGAATAAAGTGATAAGTTGTCAAAGAGAAAGCAACAGAATATTTGTTTACTTCTATTATCTCCTAAACTGCCCTTTGTTCAATTTGAAAGAGTTACGTTACAGCAGGTGTACTAAAATGACGGAAACAAGATGATGTACCTTTTGACTGTCTGTGCCAATTAGTACAACGTCCATATTAGCCAACTACCATTTATATATCACACAGGGTTTTATTTACTTGCATGATAAAGAGAATGAGCTGTCTGGAACTTCAGGCACGTTCTAACGACGTCATAGAATCAAATAAGCTCTTTGTCTATATTTCTAGTCGATTCTCTCATTACTTTTTTATTAAATTTGTAAACGATGTGGTTTAAACTGTACATATTTTGCAAAGGCTCTTTCGGAGAATACAAAAATTAGCCCACATAAGATATTACTCTTATATTCATTGTTCTTTGTATCTGCATTATAAAATAAACAGGCTTATGCTGGGAAAAAAGAAAGACTATAATTGATATTTTTGACAGTACTCATTCTTGACAATACTCATTATAGTTTATAACAAGTTATGGGGATAAGAGAGGGAAAAGTTTCTTAGGGGCTCCAGGGGGTCAAACATCGGCTGAGTCAACGAATTGTCTATATTGTTGTAAAAAGCCATATTTTGAAGCACCAGAAAACGCGTATGCTGCTGCACCGAGCGAACTTTTGAATTATAGCTTTCATAATATTTTAAATTCTTAATATAAGACGAATCACAAACACTTAATATATTACTTATAAAGCAAACTATGAATGCGGCACGAATAGAAATGCGGTGTACTTTACAAACAGTACAAAGAATTGCTAAAGTCCGATATACTTGGTGCATTCAAGGCTACGGTGCATGTGTCAATTCTTTGTTTGTAAAAGAAACGAGTAGGCCTCAAATGGGCCCGGTCCTGCCTGTTGATGTCATCCACTACACACCCCCACTGGGTGCTTTGGGTCCCCTTATGTGCTCAATCATATAACATGACAACACAGTTTAACTTACTCTACAATTTCTCAGAAAAGGATTTAGCAATTATGAAAAAGATGAGATGGAAGGAATAACTCATTATGTTACTTATCATTAGCTTAAAAAAGTAGTAGTGTATGTGAATAATGCTTCCAATAAATCTGCAAATACAAGAGCTGCTTGAGCAAAAAGGATGAAGAAGTAGTATAGAAAGTTATTTTAAACTCACCATGTTTGTATTTATTGTTTAAGGAACAAGCCATCTTCACTATTTAGGTACAAAGAAATAACCCCCTCTTTGAGCTCACATTATGGTCTATTTTAAGGAGGGAAAGCAGTCATATCATTTCCTGATTAATTTGCTTAGCACGCTGTTGCACTGTTTTGTTTACCATTTACAAACTGTTGATCAAAACAAATAATGCATTAAAAAAGACAATTTATTATCAAAAAAGTTTCCTTGGCACATAATATATTATATACAGCAGTTTCCTTTTTCTTTAAGCAGTGCGTTCAAAAGCTAGTCTTGTACGCTAAAATTATGTGTTTTTATATACAAGAAAAGGAAGCAAACCAGTTGTCCAATATCATTATTAAATAATAAAACCTTAGCAGTCCTTGCTTCTCTTGCGATGAGTTCGAATATGTTGGTTCAAATTATCAGAGCGAGCAAATCGTTTTTGACAGGTATCATAGGGACAGACATAAGGCTTCTCCTTGGTGTGAATAGATCGAATATGACGCTTGACATGTTCTTGACGACCAAATACTTTACCACAGTCCTTGTATTCGCATGCAAATACTTTGTCTGTTGAGCTTGTTGTGGCCTTACTAGGGCAGCTACCGCGACGACGGCCTCGCTTTTCGGCCTTGGCTTTTCTCATTTTGGTACTCTTGATGGATATATCAGATAAAGGTGATCCAGGAATCAACATGTCCTCTTCAGGAACAATGACGGGGGATGAACCAGCAGAAGAACCAAAGTAATCGTTCCCTTCGGTCATCGTCTGTTCAGAGCAGGGTGAGATCATTGAGTATGAAGCAAATGGGTCATAGACTGAGTATACTGGCTGCACAGGCTCATTAGGAGAAGGTAAGTGGTTGAGCAAGGTAGGATGATATTGTTGATTGAGATAAAGACTCTTTTGAAAGGATTCTTGATTCATGTTGTTATAATAGCCATAGTACTGATTATTATTGTTTGGAGTACTAAGCCATGAAAAAGAAGGTTGATAGGTATATGTGGAGGTATAGTTTGAAAACATGGTAAAAGAATGATGAATGGAAGAAAAGTGGACAAAAAGAGGTAGCTTTTATATGCAAAAAAAAAAAAAAGTTGATTTCTTTGTTGGATTTTAAATTTCAATAACCGCAGCGTTTATTTATTTATATTTCGGAAGAGAAGCATTTGGCTGGCTTAAATTCATTATTCCAACTTGCAAGAAGGGTCTGGTTATACAATTCGACCAATTAGAGAATAATTGATCGGCAGCTTTGACATGATTTTTTCCTTGATAAGCCCCTATTGACACTATTAAGGTTTATAAAATACAAACTTTATTGACATAGCGATCTATTTTTCTATCATCACCATAGAAATACCCCCCTTTTTTTACCCTATAGTCAGAATTCTTTATTTGATCAATAAAAAAATAGACTATGCAAAAGCCAATCGCATGTGTAATACAAAGATAAGCACGAGCCCCCCTCATTTCTTTATTATTCTCATAAAAAGTACCATAATTAAAAACGTGAATTTATTCTTGACGGTGACGGTGATCATGGTCTAATAGACCTTCTTCTTCTTCATTTTCATGCTGAGGTGACCTAAATAAGGCTATAAAAAATCCTAAAATGAAAGTGACCAAAAATATCCACTGAGCATAATAAAATATCAATCCAAATATAGGAGTATTGAGCGTGATGCGATCTAGGATGGTTGAAGTAACGGTAGGGGTACATATTTCTAGAACCCAATGATAAGTTATAAGCTCCTTGGCATTTCTAAATATATTACCTAGAGGTGCCCAGATATCACAAGGTACGATTTTATTGTTGTATGAGCAATCTCTTCTTCCGCCTTCGGTATGATTACACTATCATAAAAGGTAAGTGATGAGAAGCAACAAAGAAATTGTGTGAAGTGATCAGCATACATAAACCTGACTGCCGAAATGTGTGTAACCAGGTGTGATGACTGATGTGATAGAGTATGTCAGTGCCAACAAACTAAATGTCAATAAGATGGCGACACAGAATAGCCCTTGAGGCGCAGTGGACTTTTTCTTGATTCTGTAAAGCGTCACCCAAAGAAACTTGACACCGATATAAGTCAAACCTATCATGGTGGACATGTAAAAGTGAATCATGATGGCTATCATGAGTACATAATCGAGTGGGAATAGCTATTTTGTCTGTGTCATTGTTTTGATATGATAATAATAATAATAATAAGTGATTACCTTTTGTAGCTCAATCATGATAAAATCGATTGGGTTAAACAAATCCGTCTGTCCTATAATGTAACCACATTTTGGCCCACAAACAGAAAATGTGACCTTGTCAATACTAGATTAAAAGTTGGTGCATGAATAAATCACTCATATATTATAGCAACTTTGGACCGCTCACATGGTAACAAATATTGACGCAACCATCAATATTGTAAATAGTAACATTATTACTCCAATCAGCATCTATCATTGCGTTACACTATGTAACTCGCATGGTTTCTGGTTCTTACTTGCCTCAAATGGCCTCATTACTTTTAATATCCTCTGTAGGAAACCGTGTTCCTCTTGTTCAATCACAGTTAATTGACGCAAAAGAATCCTAACATTATTGGATAAATTTGATCGATCTTTTTTGATTTCGATCCTTACCTTTCCTCATCATTCAAATTCTCTAATGCGGTGTAATCATGTGCACTCAGCGCTGCATTGGATCCGGCATATTTCTGCTCAATCATCTTTTGCTGCTCTCGGACCTTGATCAATCTTTGATTCATCTCATCATGTCGCGCGTCAATTTTTCTTCTTGCTCTGATAAGTTTAAATGGTACAAGTGATAAACCCGGTGCCTTTTAAAGGTGTGAGTCTTTTCTTATTTTTTGCTTTCATCAATTTACCGTATAAACAATGAAAATCAACATGCCGGGTATAAACAAACAGCCGACAACGAACCAAAATGCTTTAGCACCGTCTATATAAATTTACATACATATGTGTTTTAATTACCCAATAAAATTTTCACACAGCTCTTAAACTTACTGCTTTCCATCAGTAGATTCTTGAACCATTCCAAATCAATATGCGGAGGTAAAATGGTGGGTTTTAAGAACAATCCAAACAAATATAGTAAGATGCCCGTCATCCCAAAAAAGAAGCTGTACTTGAGTGCCTTTGCCCTTCTTCCACTTTCATAGTAAATATAAGAAAAGGGTATAATAAAGAAACTAAATACAAGTATCAAGCCAAAGAATACTAAAAAGAAAGGAAAAAAAAAATAGTTAAAAAAAAGGGGAGAGCCTTTACGCCCAATATATTTCTTTCTCTGTTTCTTTACCATAATACAACACTTGGACTGCTAATGTCATCCAATAAATTGTATCTTCGTCCGCCCATGTCTTTTTCAATCCAGTATGTCGATCCACGGTATTGGATACTAAAAATATATCGAGAGGTACCAAGGCAACCGTACCCATCGCGATACTCAGCATGGCCGCGGTAACCATAGTGACTGACAACTCAGGGTCTCGAAGACTCTGATAATATTTGGTAAATCCTATATTGAACACAACTAAAGCCTAAAAGAGAAAAAGACCGTGTGGGTTATGGGCTGTTTATCATGTATATATTATTATTAAAGTAATGGTTACAATAAAAATTGCAGCATAAATGCCCCATGCTATATAAACAGAAACAGGCATTCTTGTTGGTATGCGCAACTTGTAGAAAAGAAAAAAAAAAAACAAAAACTGACAGCTAAAAAAAAAGTGAAAAAAGTAAAATGTCTATATCATGATGTCATTATTGCTTCATCAAGTCTCAGTATTCGGCGAGTCTACGTCTCCTTCAAGCATGTCATTCAGTAATAGACTTTCAATGAACGGCAAGTCAGGTTTAGCCAGTGTGAAGGAGGCCTGGTATACGTAAAGTCCGATTTGCTCAATAAAGAAGGAAAGTTGGTGAATTGAGCCAATGCTATGCATGGTCAGCATCGGGCGCCTTAGAGACCCAGATGATGGTGTCGTTGTTTCGTTTAGTGATAAACTAGAAAAGTCCTAACGTATGTATGAGTAAAATTATATATATACAAGACACGCTTAGTTACCACAGTAGCAGGCACGGTTACCATCTTTTCATTTAGTAGTTCCATAATCGGAGTGGGGCCGAGATCAGGACGCTTGATGAGCGTTTCGACAGTATCTCGGATAAAGATCCATTGATATCTTTTTTTTTTTTCTGGTCAGTCTATCTTTTGTGTTAAGAATGTAACTTACATTTGAAACGCGTCTAGCTCTAATGTACACAGTAAATCCAAAAATTTGCATCCAGCTAAAGCAATCTGGGCTTCTTCTGGTCTATTATCAAAGTCATTGTAAACAAGCGAATTAAACAGCCTCATCTACAAACAAAAAAAAAAAAAGAAGTGAGGCCTAGAACACGTATGGTTTGCATGATGGATTACCAATTCTGTAATCAGGACCGGCCAGAAATTCATAAGATGTTTTTGAGAAAATCGAACAAGCATAATACGTAAACATAAATAAATCTCAATGTGCACCACTTCTCCGTGTTCTAATTTTAGCATTTCTACAATCTTTTCCTGGATGATTGGCAGCTGCGGTACATACTGATCGACAGTACCTGCAAACAATACAAATGAAAGGCGTCGTAAATTGAGTGCTGCATTCAATGCTTCTTGGTCCTTGTTTGAGAAAAATGTTGTCGAAGGCGAGATCGTGATACGACCCATCAATTCAGTAAATCTCTCCTTTTCGATGGAAAATGCAGTTTGAGTGATTGCCTTCCATTTTTTGGCAGTGGATACATTCATGTAAAAGAATCTGCTATCGATAAATACTTCCCATATTTCCTTTCGCCATGTTTTGTAAGTGAATGGCATATATGCCATTTCACACAACTGGTTTAGGATGATGGCGCTTTTACTATAAAATGATTCTAGGTTAAATGAATCATTCCTTGACAATATTTACCTTTTAGATTTCAAAGCAGGAACGATGACGTAGTAAACCAAGTTGCTCAGGAGTGAATTTATCTTGTCACTGTCGCCTACTAATTGACGAAGCCTGGGAATCACTCGATTCGCAAAGTACTGATTGATTTGGTTAATTAGACTGTCTTCTCTTGTCTTCCAGCTTGCTTTCTTTTCCATATCAGACACATTGCTCGTCGACAAATTCTTCTCTTCAAACAGAGTAGATGAATCAGCTGTATGAACTGAAGATCCATCATCATTTGCACTTTCGTCATAAACTGTGGTTGGACGTCTCATCCAAAGGCTCTGGTCAAGGGCTTTACCAGCGATCAAGATGCAGTAATCAATACAGCGCTGGTATAGATCCTGTGCGTCCCGGCGGATCCGTCTATCTTTCTCGTATCCCTCTGATAAGCTCAGTTCCTCCAATGCGACCGTTAGGAAACGCATTAAACCTGGCAACAAGGCCTTGAATGTGCTTGCTTGAGAGAGATAGTCCTTAGCAAATGAGTGAATAATGGGCCACAAGATGACCACAGATTCTGGTTTTTTCATATATCCACAGTATATTTCTGCAAATCGAAGTAAAGACGTATCTGTTCTATTCAAACAAGTTAGCCAAGGTTACGAATGGAATTATCCTATGATATTTACAGCTTGCCCTGTCTAAGGATCTTTCTCTTTCTATTCTGATATGTTCCTGGCGTCCGCTGTCGAATGCTGTCGAGTAAAATAGAAACTATATACTCAGATGTGCTTGAAGGTGTACCTGATAAGACATCAAGTGGCAAATAATTAAATTCTCTTTCGTCCATCTGCTGTTGTTCAAGTTCTAGAGCCAAAGGGTTTTCAATGAAAAATATTTCTGTAAATGCCTCAACGTAATCTACTGCCGAGTACTTGAATAGTTTTTCAAAAATTGCTTCTAGTCTACCCTTTACTTGATCCGCCGAATAAGAAAAGCTATGTAAAATAGCTTCTACTTTAGCGTGACCCAAGGATCGAATCGTTTTCTGTGACCATTCTGGTTTCCTGAATACTTTCCAAATATCCAGAAGGATATGCAAGATGACAGGTAATTGATACAAGACAACATCTTTTGGCTATTTTGAAAATATTGCTTTAGATGACTTTTTTACTATCATATTTCATTACCTTTTCATATCTTTGGGTTTCATGAACAAACTGTGCAAAACCAGATAAATATGAGTTTTCGGATAATCGAGGAATAGGCATAAGACAAGCACTGCTCGTAAACCAATCATCACCAATGCTCTTCTCTGTCAAACAAAACATGATCATTTTTTCTAATCCTGCCAACAAGAGTAGAATTTCTCTTTCTGCTCCTTCGGAAGAAACACATGCGGATGGCTTCTCATGAATCATGATGTTGATCACATTACATCGCAGATAAGCTTGATGACAGATGCAGATCAGGATAGGGACGATCATATGCTGGAACCCGTGTTTGATATATGGCAAAACAGCCATCAAAAAGTCCATCCAGTGAGACAAAACAACTCGGTTGCTGGACATGGCAAGCGCATCGGTTACGGCTTTGACAAAGAGATCAGAGCAGGACTGGACGAGTAACATGGCTTCGTTTGTTTCTGGTTCGGTCTTGTGCACTACTTCACTTTCTACTGAAAGTCGTCGCTGGTGTTCCCTTGCATGATATGCGTTAGCGGCTGTGATGGCGAATGTAGCATGGAGTAAATGGAGTAGCTTTTGTTGCAAATCAAAGCTCTCATTCATAATACAAAAGATGAGCTTATTTAAGCAACTAAGCTGGACTTTTTCGACAAGACTCATACTGACACGATCCAACTTGGAGACAAGCAGGTGTAAAAAGTCCACAACATGTAGTTGGATACTACGTACAGCATTTTGCATACTTGAATGCTTTTGACTTGGCTCGCTTTCCAAGTATCTTATACAGACAAGTATTAAAACATCTAGGAATGTAAGCGTAGATGTACTAGCACTCATGTCGAACAATGAAGATTGAACTGCGTTTGCTATTGCTCCTTCAGAGCTGACAAAATGGCTCTTGCAGTCTTTTAATGCGCCTTGACCACCAAATTGAAACAAGTGCGTCAGTGTGGTAAAGATGTAATCAACAATGTCCGTATCAAATGGCTTGGCGTATATAAAATAGTGAATATCTGTTGTCGTGATCTGCTGCTGGTTCTTTAGTGATTGGTTATTCCATTCTGCTTGGTATACTGTTGCTTGCCGTATAATCTTTTTATCCAATAATGCCAAAATAAATGGCTCAAGGATACGCACGTAACTCTTCAAATGAGCACGAACCCAGCTTTCACCTATCCTTTTTTTTATGGCACAGTCATCGAGTAAGTCTAGAACGAGCATCATCGGTCGTGAAAATGTTAAGCTGGCTTCAGGTATGCTTTCAGAGAGTTCCCAAAGGATACCAAACTTTTCAAAATTTTCTGTGTTATCTTGGGATATAAGATAATTGGAAACGATCGTTTCAACCTGATGGGGGAGCGAAACTTGGATGACAAGCCAAATGAGCTCCACGGTTCGCATATGGAGTAGTTGTGTGGAAGGTGATAAAAACGTCCAAAGCTTATCGATGACTTTTTTCACCTCTGGTATGTTCTTGAGTATGGAAATATCAACAAGACGTCCTCTTTTCACAAGCTGAACTAGGGTCGATAAACTGGTATCAACTAGTCCGAACGCATGAACCTGCTGGCTACAGTTTAAAAGCGCTTTTGTAAGAGCAGTGCTAATCGTATGGTTCTCGTCTGTATATTTTGCCATATAGCTGATTGTTGTACATGCACTCAGCAAAACTTGCTCTAGATGATGCTCAATATGAGCCAGCCGCTTTCCTTCAGCGCCTACATCAATGCCGCTCAAAGGATCTTCTGGAAGCGTAATGTAACTATTGATAAGTTCGACTAAAAACTTGACGAGATTGTCGATCACTTCTTTTACCAAGTCTGAACCGCGTAATGGCTCGAAATCAGGTCGCTTTTGAATATGAAACTGTATTAGTTTTGTTGTATGCTGAATTGATAAATCTCCATCGTCTTCATCAGGAACATTCTTTGTCTCATTATCTTCATGAATATCTGCTTGATGTTGTTGTTGCTGCTGTTGTTGTTGTTGCTGGTCTTGGTATCCGTAATATTCTCGTGCATAATCAATTACATTCGTTTCACCTTGTTTAAATCGTCTTTTGTGATCGTATGTCTGCTGTTGTTTGAGGAATACGAATTCTGGTATTTGCTCTAGTATGATCAAGACAAGCGAAAGACACTCGTTTACTTGTGCTAGGATGTCGATAAATTCAGCACTTTTCAAGGACTCTTGAAGTTTCTTTGTTAACACTGCTAATAGTAAAGGAAAATGGACTTGTTTGATTTCCTCGTCTGTCAGCTTGAATGCTTTGAGAGCAAATTCTGCTAGCTGCAAGTTTTCTAATGAATGGCGCTGCTTATTTGAAGGAAAATTCGTATCTAAGCATTCAAATAACTTCATATAGATCAAATAAGGCTCCATCATATCCATCCACATATTGGCTGATTGAATCACTTCATGATTAGACTGTAGTTTTTGTAAACTGACTAATGAATCCATAAATATGTTATTTACAATAGGTTGTCCAATTTCTGATCTGTCCATTAAAGAAATAAGCATTTTGTAGGGCCTTTGTAGATCAACTTCGTCCTGATGTAGCATTCCGCGTATGGCCTGTATCGCTGCTTTTTCTGCAAACATACTAAAGTAAACAATCTGGGCCTGCGCTGACCCTTCTGATCCTAATAGCCAAGCATACAATCGTCTGTTGAGTGACATGTCTTTTCTTAACACAATACCCAGTGCAGATTTCATGAGAATGACCAAATCCTCATGGGGTATCATACGGTGCCTCAATACAAAGTTTTGTACAAGTAGTTCTAATAGTCCTCTTTGCACCAGTAGTTGCTGATCCTGAAGTGTGGTTGCAAACGCACGGATCATCAAACTGACATTTTCTTTTCCGCCTATGACGAGAGCAACATCTTCTCGGTTGGTGATTTTGGGTAATTTACGTAATAGATAGTTGAGGGCTGGTGGGCGAAGTCCAGGGTTGCTGATCATGACGAGCCACATACATGAATAAAAAAATGGTAACTCTACTGTCTCTGACAACCTTTCCATCATGGCTACAACCTATATAAAATATAGTTTAATTATGCATATTTATATATCACGTCACTTGAATGATTTACTTTATCAAAATACTCGCTTCCCTCCTCTTCCAAGGCAGGTAATAACGCAATGATAAACCCACGAAGAGCAGATCGTAGTTGTCCATTCAACGGGAAATAATAAGTCTCAAAGATGGATAAAAGTTGTGGCTAAGCATAATGACTTAGTCTTTCTCTTTGTTAAAGTGAGCTACTACTACTACCTTCACATGAGTTGCTGCAAATTGTACAAAGGGGAATAATCCAGTTGACCATAGGGCCAAGTCTTCTACTAATTGATTTGACTATATGTAATAAGGTAAGGGTGAGAATGGATCATGACAGAGTAATAACAACAAACCCCAATCGTTTTCAGAATGAACGCATATACTTCCAAGGTTTTTTGATGTACACCAGCGGGAAATCCTGGGTTTAAACATTGGGCTAATCTCTTGGCAACCAGTTGTTTACGTGGGATAATCGGAAACTGAGGATAAGCTTGAAAGGACTGTTGAGTAAAGAGGTAAGTCATGATGTATTGCTGCACTTATGTCTGTTTACTTTTAATAGTCTACCGAGAAAAGATATAATATCTGCCCACTCATATACTGCGTCAAACGATTGTAGATTCTTTTCTATAAGCTGAACATATTTACGAAATCTCGGGTCATTTTGGTAACCTATAAGAATTGCGTGATTGGTATAATCGAGCAAGTTAAAAAGCTTTGAACTTTACTTTGCTCTTTCGATGACTGACCTACAAAAGATTGAAGCATAAGCTCACTATTGTAGACTGTTTAACTTTATAGGTGTATATTACTTTTAACAGATATATCCATATTCACTTTTTACAAGAGCTGATCAATTACTGTACTCATGAACAAGAAAAAAGGGGAAAGAGAAGACAAGAGACGTGCATGCAGAAATCCCATTTATGTATAGAAACTCCGAATGTAATGCTTATGGATTCTAACGTCAGTAATACAACTGTGGTATAACGACTCTGCCTCATAGACACCATTCATATTTTGTTATTGTGTATATAAATGGTTTTAAACTTCGATAGTAAATGAGTAAGCCTATTCTATTACTATTATTTCAGAGAAAATGTAGTCAAAGAGGACTATCACTATTAAAGATAATAACTGATATAAGGGCACTACGTGCTCTTTTGCTATTGAATAAACGTGGCTTTATTCAATGGTAGATGACTCTATTTTCAGAGCGGTTGCCCACATATCCTTCTTTCAATAGCTTACAAGTCAAACCTTGAGCCAAGCATAAAGCGTGAGACAAAGCTATATAGTAAATACAAGGGTAGTAAAGAGAATTGTTTCTAAAAGACATAAGAGATAAAGGGCTACTGTCAAAAGGATTCGTAAGAGTAGAAGCTTATGTGATGTATTAAACCTTTTCTTTTGTTTGTTTACGTTTCGCAGGAAACACAGCCTTCGTCAAGTGCTTATATTCGCTACGAACTCACTATTTTTTTTTTTTCCTCGTCTTTTTCTTGACTAGAATCTTTCAATTCATTCATGCTATGGCCGAACATTAACGTAAAAGTCGGCGTCTTTGTGCGTTCATTTACTTTATCCTTTAAGAAGAGTTGCGTAGACGGTACATCTAAATCCCATTCAGCTTTAGCACCCCTCGATTTGCTTGACAACATTTATGACAGACTGTATCCGATGTTCACTTACCCCCACTGGCTCTTGGATGATAACTAGATATGAGTCTCTGATCATAACCAGCATTTCAGCTGATATTTAAATAGGCTCATTCATAAACTTATCTCCAATTTATTGGAAACCCAAAGGAACTTACACTACTGTGTCGGCCGAATGGAAGAATGCACCCCGTAGTGGCTTTTGTATGCTCCTTAAAGTTCGTTCACTCCGATTCTTGTGGAAGGGCAACCAATACCATTTTTGGTATCTGTTACCATTGATACTACCATTGCATGCATATATAAGTCTTGATCACTTTTATTTTTTGTTATAATTATCATTTATTATTATTATCAATTACATATTTTATCAACTTATGAGTTAGTATAAATATCCCAAATTATTTTTGAAATAAACAACACCCTATCCTCAAGTCAAAGCAACTTATTTTATCTTACATCTTAAGCATCAGTTGCCTGATATCTTCTTTATTTTTACTGTTTTACTTTATCTCACAAGCCTTAGCATTATACTACTTTATATTGATCTTATATTACGATTTGGTGGTCACTATAGTACCAAATTCTACTTATAAATCCATATATCAGCACCTTTCCCTTAATACACCCAGCAACACAATTGATAATCAACTAACCCTTTATAATGATTGATCCGATATTACCAAGGCGTCGTACAGATTAAATACTAACTTCTCAACCTGTGAGCTTATTATAGCTTTGATTTCACTTGTTAATGTCAATAAAAAATACTCGTAAGTTCAATCGATGCCAATATTTGTAAGACAGCTGGCCTGCTTTTAAAAATGCGTGCTTTTCAAGGATACACATTTGCTTTATTTAAATTACCACTCCATTGATTCTCCTGTATAGCTGAAGAAGCCACCGTTATCCTTTGAGGTAGCGCTTTCAAGCTTAGATAGCATTCCCTTGATGGATACATCTGGCGTAATATGAGCATCAGCGCCACCCATATCTGTTTGAACCCAACCAGGATGAGCGGAATATACAATAAAGTTCTCTTCAGCGAATTGAAGTGATTGTAGCTTGGTAACCATATTCACAGCACTCTTAGAAACTCTATAGGCAGCAGCCAATTTCGAATCACAGAGTCCGACAGAACCGAGAAGAGATGAAATGTTCACAATCTTCTTGGTATGGTCTTTGCCGCGTTTACGAAGCAAAGGCAGGAAGGCATTTGTAGTCTCGACAACACCAGCGACGTTGGTTTCAAATGTCTTCATTAACTCATCTTTGCCCCTATTTAAAAGTTAATAACAAAGTACATTATGAGTACATTTGTTACTTACGTTTCTTCGATGGTTTTTCTGGATAAGGCAATGCCTGCATTGTTGATCAAGACGTCAATACCATTAGGAGCATGCTTGGAGATCTCATCAACTGCGCCCTACTCATATTACAATGGTTAAGACATCTGTCTATGCTCAGTTTTCGCGCCTTACCTTTAATGATTGTTCATTTGTTGTATCAAGTTTGATAGAATAGACCTTTTTATTGTCAACCAACTTCTTTAGTTCTTCTGCTTGATCAGGGTTACGAGCACAGGCGAATACGGTGTTGTCCTTTGCAGAGAGCTGCTTTACGAATTCAAGACCAAGACCTCGGGAAGCTCCAGTGATAACGTAGGTAGACATTCAATAATAACAATAAAAGATTAATCTAATGCAATAGAATGTAAGTTAGACGTATTTATATGCGGTCGGAGACATAAGCCGCCCCAATTGCATGATGAATGAGAGATAAACCCATTACGAAGCTTACTTTAAAAATCGCAATGGATTACTAATACTGGTAGAAGTTCCCACTTAGTAATCGTTCTAATAGTGACTTGTCGAACGTTCTTTGCCGTTACGACTGGTTATTTTCTAGCCTTTAATTTGAATATTAGTCACAAGTATGCTGCCTTTGTTTCATTAAAAGTGACGGCTCTCATCAGAGCCGTCGGATTTAGTTGTTCCATCCGGTTTTTCATTTTTACCGAGTATCGTGGGAGTGTTCCATACTAGATGTGCACCCTCTCAAGAAGGAAACAGCGACGCAGAAACATATAGATAGGAGATTGCGTAAATTCTGGAGTCGGCGTTATAATGAAAGAATTACTAATTAAGCGTACTTGTAGGCTATGCACAGCGACATTTTTCAAGCTGCCACGCGAAACATTTGGAAATTCACGATCGTACGGCTGCGATCATGGATGAAGCAATACAAAAGAAACTCTAATAGTACTTTGAGAAATATGAGAAGACTGGTTGACCATTGCACTTTTTACCTTCATATTCAAACTTTATTTTTTAAGATTTTGCTTTGTTATCCTTTTTGGGCCAACCTTTGAGCTTCATGAAAATATAAAGTCAATGACACGCAAAGTATATGCACTTTTGAAAGAAAAGTCAATACTATTAAAGTAAGGCGGGTATTAGTTTCATGAAAATGAGAATGTATGCTTTACTATAGACTTATTGCTTGAGCTATAATGATTTATTTCACCAAACGCGTCATTTTCAGCACTCTACTTTGCATGAGTGTCACTTTTACGATCTAGTAAAAAGAAAAGACAGCATTTATTTGCCAGTCTTTTAAAGCATTTCCTGTTAGGGTAGCTCTGTCTCTATCATCTGCTTCTGCTACTTCTCACAACTTTTGTTTCGACTTGTGTAACAGATGACATATTGAAAAATGCTCATGTTCTTTATAGCCGGTTTTTAGTGGGTCATTCGCCAATATTAGTGCCAGTAAAGTAATTTAGCACAAGAAAATGATTCAATTAAATGCCATTATTTTCATTTCAGGACGTCAACTGTCCGTACTAACGTCATAAACCTGGTGAGTAGTACAGTAATTGAGTATTCCCTAATATGTCTTTTTGATCTACAAGGTATGTTGCCTTGGTTTCACTGCTAAACGTACTAAAGATTCCTTTCTGCTTTCCTCATTACCGAAGAAGAAACTTCGCCTCTAGCCTTAACCTTATAAGTTAGCTTCTTATTATGGACTTTTTTGTTCCTTGGTTGAATTGTCTTATATTTGTCACCCTGTGCTTCCTTAGTAACATCAAGTACAACTTGACCATCGTATCTCTTTGTTTATAGGCTCAACAGGAGGCTTTGGATGAGATCTAGAGACTATCTTTATCTTCTGACCTAACCTGATTCACATCAGTTTCTTGCTTCATTTTTGACTGAGGGCAGTTCACTGGCTTGTAATTTTCCGTGGCAACGCGCTTAAAGACCCATCAGGATACTCTTTGAAATAACTATCTTTGCACTGCTACAATGCCTCATTACTTTCGGAGCTCCTTTTTCTAGAGAGGAATCACTAGGGGCACACAATATTGTCAAGCTCAAGCATGTAGAGACCAGAACTGGATACACTGTTACACGTTTGCATGTCTCGACTAAAAAGGAAATATATTTACATGTTCCTAGTAATACCCTTTCCAGAATAACAATTCATTAGAGGTATTAGTTAATGAGCTAGTCATCTGATTCTGGAAATCAGCAGATTCGCTTATGTGGAAAAATTAAGTATAAAATGCTAATAGATCTGATTACAAAACCCACATCTACAGCATAATGCCTCGCGGCAGAAAGAAAGTCCGAGAAGGACCGTGACGCTTTCTGATATATATTATAGATCTTATAATACTATTTGTATATGGGAACACCGAATAAGCGCGACATTTATTCCTAGAAATAGCTTATCACCTTTTGAAAAGATATCAAGCAAGTACAGCCATTAGCATTAAATGCCCGTAGCGACTATTAAGGCAATGGATTTACGTGTCCTTTATCATGCAGTTGGGGCGGCTTATGTCTCCGACCGCATATAAATACGTCTAACTTACATTCTATTGCATTAGATTAATCTTTTATTGTTATTATTGAATGTCTACCTACGTTATCACTGGAGCTTCCCGAGGTCTTGGTCTTGAATTCGTAAAGCAGCTCTCTGCAAAGGACAACACCGTATTCGCCTGTGCTCGTAACCCTGATCAAGCAGAAGAACTAAAGAAGTTGGTTGACAATAAAAAGGTCTATTCTATCAAACTTGATACAACAAATGAACAATCATTAAAGGTAAGGCGCGAAAACTGAGCATAGACAGATGTCTTAACCATTGTAATATGAGTAGGGCGCAGTTGATGAGATCTCCAAGCATGCTCCTAATGGTATTGACGTCTTGATCAACAATGCAGGCATTGCCTTATCCTGGACAAGCATCGACGAAGTGTAAGTAGTAAGTTTATTTGTGGTTTACTTTGTTATTAACTTTTAAATAGGGGCAAAGATGAGTTAATGAAGACATTTGAAACCAACGTCGCTGGTGTTGTCGAGACTACAAATGCCTTCCTGCCTTTGCTTCGTAAACGCGACAAAGACCATACCAAGAAGATTGTTAACATTTCATCTCGTGCTGGCTCTATTGGGCGCTCAGATATGCAAAAAGCGGCTGCCTATAAAATTTCTAAGGCTTCCTTGAATATGGTTACCAAGCTACAATCACTTCAGCTCGCTGAAGAGAACTTTATTGTATATTCCGCTCATCCTGGTTGGGTACTAACAGAGCTGGGTGGTCCTAACGCTCATATTACACCAGATGTATCCATCAAGGGAATGTTATCTAAGCTTGAAAGCGCTACCTCAAAGGATAACGGTGGCTTCTTCAGCTATACAGGAGAATCAATGGAGTGGTAATTTAAATAAAGCAAAAACCTTTTTCCGACTTTAAACCCTTTTTTCCCCATAGAATGTGGACCCTTGAGAAAGGGTGCACATTTTCAAAGACAGACATATTATCAGGTAATTATTATCCAATAAGAATCATCAGTTGATTATAATCCAATAAGAACCACAGAGTTTTACATAATAAGGGTGTATTACATAAGTCTTTTAGCCAATCATTCTATAAGGAATTGGACCCTGGCTGAGGCTTACTTTAAGCAACTATTTTTCCTTTCTTTCTCTCTTTCTTTCTTCCTTTCTTTCTTACTTTCCTTTTTACGCAAAAATGGCTTCTGATAAAATTTACAAAATTGTTAACGCAAGAATCCTTTTAAATCATGAAATCGTTACTGATTCTTATCTTTGGTATCAAAATGGAAAAATCATTCATCCCCAAAATCTATTCTTTTCTGCTCGTCGGGATGCTGATGAAATTATTGACGCTCAGGGTTTACTTGTTGTACCAGGATTTATTGATACCCAAATCAATGGTGCTTATGGAATAGACTTTGCTGATCATGATGAACCTGTTGAAGTGATAGAACAAAATATTAGTAAAGTAGCTAAAGGGCTTTTGAAGTATGGTTGTACTGCTTTTTGTCCTACTGTGGTTAGTTCATGTCCTGAAGTATATGAAAAGGTAACTACTGACGTCATTCTTTACATCAGTCTCTAAAAGCACTTTTTAAAGGTCTTGCCTTTACTCAACAATCGTCCGGGAAGTGCTTCTGCAGGTGCAACTATTCTTGGTGCTCATGTCGAGGGTCCATTCATATCTTATGAAAAAAAGGGCGCACATAATCCTGGAGTCTTTAAAGATGCCAAACGTGGAATTGAAGACCTTGATGAAGCCTATGGATCTCAACTGAAGAAAGGAAGTGATGCAGTCAGAATAATTACCTTGGCTCCAGAGATTGAAGGTATCTGTAATGCAATTCCTGACTTGGTGAAAAGAAACATTGTCGTTTCTATGGGACACTCTGCTTGTAAGATTGCCCAAGCAGAAGAAGCGGTAACTAAAGGCGCCAGCAGCATCACCCATTTGTTTAATGCAATGCAAGCAGTAAGTAGTAAAATGGTTACTATCAAAGTAAGCTCACCATGCGTTTCTAGTTTCATCACCGTGATCCTGGTCTGATCGGTGTATTAGGTGCAGCTGACTTACCCATTCCCGCCACTAGCTCTCGCCATCCTGAAGCATCTGGAACATCCCCTGACAGACAACAACCTGATCCTCGTCCTTTCTACGGTCTTATCTGCGACGGTGTTCACGTCCATCCAAACTCTATCCGTATTGCTTACTATTCTCATCCTACAGGTGCTGTGTTGGTTACAGATACACTGTCAGCCATGGGACTTCCCAAGGGTGTCTATATCCTCGGAGGCAGTGAAGTTGAAGTAGATGAGAAGGGTGGAGCCTATATCAAGGGCACTAGAACTTTGGCTGGTAGCACAATTACCATTGACCAGTGCATTCGAAACTTTAGAAAATTCACGAACTGTAGCATAGTAGAGGCTGTAGAAGCTGCTACACTTCATCCTGCTCGTATGCTGGGCATTGATAATCAAAAAGGTACCCTGAACGTTGGTGCTGATGCCGACTTTGTATTTCTAGATGACTCTAATGATGATATCCAAGTGAAACGTGTGTTTATTGCTGGTGAAGAAGTTGAGTTATAACTGTACAGTCTTTTCATGTCAAGTCGTCCTTAATAAAACAAAAAAATGTAAATTATTCAACATAATTCAGATCGAATTTTCTCACTGTCAGTATTAAACAAGGGGTTTTCAGAGTCGTGGACAGACATTACCGAGATATTTGCTTGTAATGCAAACCCCTTCAAAAACTCTTTCATTATTTGAATTGATATCATTTGTTTTTTGTTCTTATTCTTGCTTTTTCTTTTCTCTGTGCCTCTATTAAAATTGCATGATTCTGTTTCCAGTTTTTTTCCTATTTCATAAAACTTTTACTTGATATATTCATTTATTATCGCTTTCAAAGTTAAAACAAATGCAGATGAAAATACCACAAGTTGTGTGATCATATTTAAGAACAGAAAATACGATTGAAGCTGCGATTGATTAGGGCTTTAACGTCGTTTAGCTAGAGCTTGGATCCGTCACTGAACAAGGGATCAACAAGTGTGGACAGGCGATGAAGATTTAATGTAAAAATATAAATGAAAACGAAAACCAAGATTAAGAAGGTTTATTCATTTACAAGGCTGATGTCCAATCCCATTTTTCCCAAGATTTCAAGAACTCTTCCTGTCGATGAGGGTTTACGCTGTAATCGTAGAATTTGGGTCGACGCCATAGCTCAGGTCCAATATCCATCATACCAGCAATCACTTCTTTACCAAACCAGTAAGGAAAATGACTCGTATTTTCAATAACATGCCCATATCCTTTATCGAGACCAAACCAGACATGGAAATAAGGCAAGTTCTTCACCATTGAGCGGCGAAACCCTCGTTCGGTTGTATCAATTAATTTTTTATGTTGTGACCACTCTTCCTCAGACGACATAATGGCTTCTCTAAAGTAAGCAGGCGCATCATCATAGACATCATAAGGCACTGGTATGGCTTCAATAACCGTGTGTCTATGTGATCTAAGGTTAACTACTGTTTCCATAAATATCGTTCCTCGGTTTTGCTCATGAAACATTTTCATTAAGCACTTTTGGAAATTCTATAATAATAATAATAATCATTCAGCTATGAAATCCCTTTTCTCTTTTTTCATATAATACTTACTCTCACTTCAGTCCACACATCATCATCACACTCGAGCATACTGGTCACATGCTGAAGAGGCACAATCATGCAATGACCTGGAGTAAGTTCATGAACATTCGGTAAAGCAAGGTAGCATGTTGCAGCAAGAGAAATCATGGCAAGCTGAGGAGGCTTATCATCATGATAGCAAAACTTACAGCGTTCCAGTGCGTCTTGAGTGCGTTTATAGTCTGTAATAATGTTAGCCCATACATCCCAGTTAATCTCCATCTTACCTGTTATGGCCCTTTTCATCTTTTGTTCTTCCGTTTGACCTTTCTTTGAAGCAATAATATCTGCTTTTTCGTCCATATAATCTAAATTGTTCTTATTGTACTGTTAAATTTGACATAGGACCCAAATATGAATCTATCTCACCTCAAATGAAGCATCACTTACGATGCGATTAGCAAATTCCATGTCCATATCAAAGCTTCTGCCACCTGCCTTTTCTTGTCGAACCATTTCAACCAAGGAAAGTGTATCATCTGCTGTCCCATATCGAATACGTTCCCCTGTTACTCTATCATGTGTTCCTTCGTATTTCTTTTTTCCCTTCAATTCTTCAGGCCGCTGGCTCTTTTGATTGAGCGCATAATCATGTAAGCGGCCTTGGCTGTCAAATGTAGGTAGGACTGTAACACCTTTCTGAGCCTGTTCAAATCTCTGTAGCTCCTCCTCATACTCCTTTTCTAGTTCTGCGGCATTGTCGGCCCCTATTAGTCGTGCTTTTACTAATTTAGCGTTCAATTTATTGAGCTGATCTCGTGTTAAAGGCTGTACACTCGATACTTGCTGAACACTTGGCATTGAATAGATAGGAGGAGTGAGTACTGGTGTTTGTGTATTGGCTAGTTCTGGCTCTTGCTTTGGCTCGGGCTGACGCCTCTCGGGTTCAGGTGTTGGTGAACGCTGACGTTTAGGAGGTTCAGGGCGTTTAAACGTTCTTTGTACGGGATCATTATTGGTAAACATAAATCTACGTCCACTATCGTCACTTTGTTCATGTTGTTCTTTTCGTCTATCGTCGGGACTGCTGCGCTTGTTGTTATCGCGTCTGTCTCTACGGCGATCATCATAATTCCTCTGTCTGTCATCCGTTCGAGATCTCTTTCGATTGTCCAAATACTCTCTTTCGTCCAATGCTTCTTGAAACTTTTCGGCAGAACCGTATCTCTCAATGCCTACTTCCCAAAGCGGTCTACCTTCATCCTCTGCCTGTTCTTTTGTCCGTTTTAACTTCATCATTCTCCAATTTGATCCAGCATCTCCAAACTTTATCGAGGGCTTTTGTTGTGGAATCTCATCAGTGCTAAGGCCTTGCACTAAATGTCGGTTAAGTTCGCGTGAACTGATCTTGGGCTAAGAAAATAGCAAGTTAGACTCCTTTTTTTTTTTAACTTGAAACTTTCTTACTTCATCGGGATTTGGCTTTGGCTTGTCTTCCTCTTTCTGCCTAGCTGTACCTAAAGATCCAAAATCGAATCCACTGTCAAGCATCCAACCATGTCTAGCGTTTTCTTGCATGGGTTGTTCTATAGTCTCTTGTGATAGATTATTTCTCGCATCAGTATTTTGTTGTTGATTTCTTAGATACTCTGCTGGAGTCATTTCAGTATTGTCTTCTGCTTCGACCCATAATGAAGGATCTGAGTAATCGATTTCATCGTTTTTTTGTCTGCTACTCTTTTTATGTTTTTTATGTTCTCTGCTGCTTTCTTTATGCTCCTTTTTAGACGTTTTTTCTTTTTTATGCTTATGATTTCCCATTATTTGAAAAAGAATAAAAAAAAAATTATTGCCATTTTTTTTTTTTGGTTTAGAAAATGCCTCGACACTCCAAGAACAACACTGCCTCAAGTGTGTTTACATACCATGAAGCACATAAGCTTGAATATGGAACAAAGAGAGTAAACATATTTCACATACACTACTACTTTGAAACATGTTTATAATTATCAAATCTAGCAACGTTTAGGTAGAGATTCATTTAGAAATTACAACGCTTGCTTTTTATGTCTTCAAACAGCAAGAGATCCTGTCTGCTGCGCTGAAGGACATATTGCTTGCAGAGAATGCATGTACGAGAGCATTTTACAACAAAAGGAAGCCATCAAGCTAGAACAACAACAAATGGAGCAAAGACTTCAAGAATTAAACAACAAGAAACAATTGCAGGAAGAAGAAGCTAGACGTGCATTATTAGACGAATTTGATAAAACACAGAATAGCATGCTTGGAAGCAGACGTCGTGGCAGTGTAAAGGTCGAAGAGGCTAAAGAAAAGACAGAAAAGAATGAGAATGACTCCATTAGCAGTAATCATAGTGGAAAAAAGCGTAAATTTGAATTAACAGAGGATGAGATTCGATCAGTCGCCGAAAAGGATATAGAAAGGACTTCCTTGCAGCTAAAGGAGGAAAAAGAGGAAGCTACGAAGCCAAAGATTGCATCATTTTGGGTGGTAAGTGGGCTCTTATTGTTTGCGAGATATTGCCTAAAACACTCTTTTTATAGCCCTCGTTGACACCAGCTGCAGATACATCTCTTTTAAAACCAGTAAAGACTCAAGTCATGTGTCATGCCGCAGAAAAGGCTCATCCTCTAAGGTAAATAACGGGTTATTATCATACCTCTTTTTTCTCTTTCTAATCACTGAATTCATGTTAGTATCAAGTCATTGATTGATGTCAAGTTTCAAGCAGAAGGAAGTGACAAGGATAAAAATGTTTGTCCTGCTTGCTTAAAGACGATTACTAACGCTTACAAGTTATCAAGTAAGTATACACTAGTTATTTTATACTTGCTGCTAATCCTTATTCATAGTTATGCGCTCATGTGGCCATGTTATCTGTAACACTTGCGTAGATATGTTTGTAAAGAAATCAAAGAAATGCTATGTTTGTGAAAAGAAAGTGAAATCCAAAGATATTGTAGATATGACACCTGAAGGCACTGGTTTTGCCAGCGCCAGTTCAAAAGCCGTTGCTGAAAAATATACCATAGCATTTCAATAAACAGAGAAATCAAAAGGTTTTATTAGGGACAAAACTTTTTTCTAGTAATAAGTATCTCGAATATCATCATCACCCGTAATATCGCCATATTCAAACATGCCAAGTCGTCGTCGAATAGCTTGTTCTTGAGCTTCCTGGAGTGTTTTGATGATAGTTTCATTACCATGGGTATAGCGTACCTTGGGGGTAACATAAGCCTGACCATCTTGAACCATATCCAAATTGACGCTCACTTCCGCACTTGTAGACTTTCGGAAATCGTAGAGCGTGAGACATAACGTGTTGCCTTCACGAGCATCAACATTAGCCACTAACTGTTTATTGGCTGTAAGTTGACGGAATCGTTCATAAGCTTCAATACCATAATCTTGATCTCGTTCGGGACTCTTTACAAAGGATAAAACAGCTTCATGAGCTTGAGGTTTTAATGCCTTGAATTTATCGGCCAGAGCACGTACACGAGCAGATGATAAGGTTTCAGAGTTACCATAGTCAATATAATGAACTTCGATACCTTCATGAGAGATACGACGAACCTTGGCTCTATACCATCCATCGTCTTCGGTAAACTTGGCGCAGACAAGATCTCCAACGCGAGGCTTGAAAGCAGGATCTGCAGGACGGCTAGAATAGTATTCATCCAACTCCTTCATCAAAGCTTCAAGCTTTTGAATTTCATCAGTAACCTTTTGTACGTAAAAGTGAGAACCGCTCAGTATTTCGGAGACAACCACATCGATATATTCGCGATTGGGACCTGTACTAGTATTTGTGCTTGTCTGCTCAACCTCTTCATTAACGCCTTCTGCCCATAGACCTCGTTTTTCATTCTTGGCTTGACGCTCAGCTCCATAAAGTTGGTTGACATAGTGTGATTCATCTGCAGAATATTCATGAATCGTAGCCAAACCACGTTCGAGCAAGGATACAGCCAGGTTTTCGCTTTGGATAAATAATGAACCAACAAAACTTCCGACCTTGTCAACGTTTTCTATTTCAACTTCAACGTCATGCTGAAGACACTTTTGAGAGACATAGTCCAGGGCTTCTTGACCAAAAGGTTCAGATTTATCAGTTGGCGTGCGACCCACACGAGGTGCACGAACACCAGAGAGCACAAATGAGACACGACAGTTCTCTTTGGGAATCCAAAGGGCCAAACGCGAGCCATTGGAGACGTACTCGACAACGGCGCTGAGCTTACCAGCACGTTTCAAGAAGGTAAAGAATTGACGAGCCTTGGCAGCACTTTCAGAAGCGTCGACGATTCTAGTTACTGGAAGCTCCTTAGGACTGTGGACACCCTTTTGCTGTTCCTCGGCCTTCTTTTCTGCAAGCAACAGTTGATCATAATGACGGGCACGGTTATCATCGTCCTTTCTGTGGCGAATGACAGTAGCAAGGCCACGAAGGACAAGCTGTTCGGCAACATTTTGGCTTCCCTGAATGACAGTTGCGCAATCCTTAGCTTCGAATCCCTCTTGAGCAGGCTTGTGATAATCGATCGCAACATGTACCTGCTTGCCAATCAGCTTCTTTCTCAGATACTCTCTTGCTTCGAACTGGTATCCAACTTCCTTTACGTCTTTGCTCTTGGAAGTAGGGGCTGTTGAACCGGCACCACGAGGGGGCTGTTTGATGCTTGCAAACTGTATCTTTTTCTCAATTCCGCCATTCTTCGTTTTGACAAGAATCATGTCACCACTGATAATACGAATCACGGCAGCATCAAACTCATTCGTCTCAGTAGGCGCCTTTACAACAAAATTGCGCCAAAGACGAAGCTTCTTTTCTTTTGCCAATTTTTCTGCATTTCTTAAAGGAGTAGGGCCAGATGTTGCCAAGGTAATGCTCCAGTCAATACATTTAGCCAAGCCCTGAGAAAGTAAAAGTTCGGCAATGTTACCGGCAGGGTGCTGGATGGATCCAACAAAGGTTTGACCCTGTGATAATCCTTCCAAAATAACCTTTACGCCACGTTGAAGTAAACGAGATTCTACAAAGTACTTGGCTTCTTCACCAAAGGGTTCTGAGACAACACCGTCCTCGGCATTGTCGCGTTTACAAGTAGGTGCTTTAATTCCAGACAAGCTTAATGTGATGATCTGTTGAGTATTATCTGGCAAGAGCAATAAGACGCGGAAAGTGGATCCATCACGAACTTGTTCGATAATAGCTACAGCATTTCCCCCTTCCATTAGTAAACCATGCCTATACATATATACACACACACAAATTTACCATTCAAGGGTTTTCCCTTATATTTGTTCAAAAATGCATGAGGATCTTTTTCAAAGGTAAAGAATATATCACGAGTACCCTAGGGATGGTTACTATGAGCTTACATTTCTCTCTCTCTTTATGTAACAAATCTTACCTTTTCAGCATCATTCCACATACCCACTTTGGCTGCCTGAGCCTCCTCCTGTAACTGCTCTAAACGATTCAAGACATCTTGTTTGTCTTCACTAGTCGTCTTACCGCCCTCACGTACTTTTAACCAACCAGCCTTTACACCTAATTCTTGGACATTCTCACCATTGGCCAAGTAGATGCTACCGTATTCACGCTGTGTTGTTGTGGTATATTCAGGAACGAAAGAAACTTCTTTACCTACAAGCAGCTTTCGAAGAAATTCTCGAGATTCAAAACCAAAAGGCTATTCTTGTTTTAGGTTTCTTTCTTTCTCTCTCTTAGGCTAGGACACGTACCTCATCTGATCTCGTTGTGCTTCCTAATCTAGGTGCTTGAACGTTGGATAATGCCAAGAGTCTTTCAGCAGGAGGACCATTAGGACGAGGCTTGCCTCTCAAGATGACAGTATCACCAGATAGTACATTTTTTACGATAGCTTTATTTACCATAGGATTTATGTTAGGAATAAAAGAAAAAGTGAATGTGTCACTTCTTGTTTCTGTGGTGGTACTCTAAATACAACATGAAAGTCCGATGTCTCATGCGATGGGGTAGCTTTAAAGTAGTGAGATTTTAGCTGTCATATTGGATATTGAACATAGCGGATTCCTGCCGATGTTGCCTTTTGAACGGAAGTTATCTTCCACTATAGACACATAGTTTATTAAAAAATTGTTAAGACCACATTTTCATATATATATATATATATATATATATATATACTAGATAATTTAGGCGTCCAAGCCAAGTTTCATTGGTGGAATGCGCAAACCTGGCCCTCTCCACTATGTCGGATATACTTGGACTCGACTGAAGATCTTTGCCATTTTCTTGTCAGTTGTTCCTCCCTCGATCTCTTGAACATGTCCTTTTCTGATCGTTCCGAAGATACTGCTTGGCTTGCTTGTGCGTTTCTTAGGTTCACTGACGGTATATACCTTCCTCGTGAACTGCTCGCCACCTTGGGCGTCATCACAGAAGCACTCTGGAAACATCACTAGATGTGTATTTTCAACCGCCACTCTTGGTCAACTTCTGCTACCATATCTCTGATGAAATTTCTTTGATCATACAAACTTCAACTGCTGAATTGCACTGCAGATGACTACCTATATTCAGCATAACATACTATGATTTTTATATTAAAAAAAACTTAAACAGCAATACGCCACTTCCATAAATTGAGTGTGATACTTTGATGCAGTATACGAATTTATGAAGTATCATCATAACTACACGAGATCTAAGTGATCTTGGTTGTCCCCGCCCTCCTCTCCCTGTTTTCTTCTCGGTTTGTCTCTTTGCTTGTTATATTCTCACTCAAAAAAAAAGCTTTTTATATTACTGTGTTTATTTTACGTTGTACAATTCGAACTAATAAAGAAAAGAATAATTACAACAACCAAGGTCATAAAGCTCGAAGTGTAATATATATAGGTTGAAACGACAGTATACTGTAAGTAATTACACGTTTAATATCAACTTTTTTTAAATTTTTAAAACTAGGATGTGATTCAACATGGCTAAAACCGAGAACAGATTTTTGGTTACTTCTTCTCTTGAAAGCGGAAGTTGAGGTATTACATTCCTCACCGGTTGAATCATATCGTTTAAAAATGTTTGCAGGTTTGATGCACTGTTAAGATCATCTTGTGTAATGAAATTCTCTGACATATCTGATCTTACAGTGTTTTTTAAAACTTCATCCAAGGCGTAACCGTATACAAGCTTCTTTACGAGCGGCATGTTAAGATTCTTATTATGTTTTATGAACAGGTGAATATACAACTACAACAGCATGTACAGCTACAACAACTACCGGAACAGCTAGCGCAACCCATACAGACAGAACAACCATTAGAACAACTACCAGCTCAAGCAGTACAGCTAGTCCGTCCACAGGAACAAACACGGCAGCCACAGTAGCCTCGCCTATTTTCTCTTTTTCCAAATCCTAGTTTTAAATGGCGCTTTGTAAAGGTAGATGGTCAAAATTTGTTTACACTTTTCCCTGATACACGGCTTCAAAAAGAGGAAAACGAAACAAATTTTGCGTTTGCTGCACGCTGCTTTTTCAATTCATTTAATTTTATCAAGTGAAAAAGAAAATGCCAGTCAACTAAGAATAATATTACAATAGTTTAACAGAATTACAAGACTTGCCAAGACAAAAAGGGCGCATGTTCTTAAACAGTATATATACTGACGGATATACTTGTAGAATTTCTTTCGCAAGAAATGTTCCTGAGAAGCTTAATGAAGATAGGGTCAATATTGAAATCAGTGATTTTAACGAAGACGAGGTCAATAATAATATTTTTCGTCTTTGTTTCCTAGACCCTGGTCGTAAGAATGCGTATGTAGCATATTATGGCAATGAACAGGTCAGATCTTTAATAGTAAATGAATATTATTACCCTTCTGGATCAATAAATCGAGCAAGAAATGAGGATACGCTTAAAATCCAACAAGGCATTAAGGATCTGGAGACTAGAATCCCAGCATCTAAAACTTCTTCGATTGTTCTTTATATGAGCCATTTTCTATATGTGGCGACTTATATGGATCGTTTTTTTTTTTATTTCTACAATTTTAGAACAGCTCAACTAAATGGAATAACTACCACTTCACTGAAGGAGACACTACAAAGATGCCTTTGGTGATTTTCGGTGATGGTGTAAAGGGTAGCAACTATGTGAAGTACAGAGAACAACGAACTGGTGCTTCTGACATCATTTATAAGAATTTGAAAAGAAGAGAAAATCTTGGAGAGGTATTAGTTCTTGATATAAATGAATTCCGAACCTCATTCGTAAGTCACTTCAATACAAGTAAACCCCTATTAATACATCTAAATACACCATTTCCAGAAAGAGATGTCGCGCTAACTTGTCGCTTTTTCATATAAATTGTATTATAAAAACTGCAAAAATACGACTTTACTTTCTGAAAAGACTGTATCCCTCTACAAAAAAGGTCTGTTGGCACCAGTCCTTCTCATCCTTTTTCAAATGTGTTGGACCTGGTCCTGTGTCCCTCTACCTTGGCGTATTGCACAGATCGTTCCAATCCATAAGAAAGGGCCTCCATCAGAACCAGGAAGCTACCGTCCAATCAGCTTAACCGCAATTTTTAGAAAAATCCTGGAACATTGTATACAACTCACATTAACAAGCGAAGGACCACCACTGGATATTGCACAAAGGGGATTTCGTGAATCTCGTAGTGCTTTGGACCAAGCTTTATGCCTTTCTGAGATCTGCCAGATACTACGTTCACAATTCCGCATTACTCCAGTCTTAACCTTCCTGGATATAAAATCCGCGTATGATACGGTAAACCGAAGCTTCGTTTGGGAAACCTTTAGTCAATATATCTCACCTCCTTTACTGGGCCTACTACGTAGTCTTTTCGATGATGTCTAAATCGAAGTTTTACTTTCTAATGCTACCTCTCGCCGTTTTCGTCCAAAAACAGGCGTTTTACAGGGTTTCATACTCTCCCCGTATCTTTACTCGATATACATCAACCAACTACCAGCTCAACTGCGCACTCAAGCTCTTCCATCTAGCTCGTCACCGCTGGAAATGATACCCTCCCTGAATTGCCTACTCTATGCTGACGATGTAGTCTTCACTGCCGAACGCTCAAATATGGTTGACTTACTGCGGATATGCGAAAATCATAGTATACAAATGGGGTACAAATGGAATCCATCTAAATGTGTGATCTTGGACAGTAGCACAGATCCAATTACATATACCCTTTACGATCAGCCATTACCAAGAGAAACATCTTTCGCATACCTTGGCGTCCCCTTTAAACCGGGAGGGCACCTCGATCCAGAAGAATTAATTCAACGTAATACTCGTAAGGCTCTTGCAACGATGAACATGCTGTCATCTGTTGGTGTGAATCCTTCTGGTTTCTCCAAAGTTCTTTGCACTAAGTTTTACGCTCACATCGTTCGACCTCAGCTTGAATACGGCCTAGCTATCAATCGCTTCACGGTCTCTCAACTTCACGCTCTAGAGGAAGCCCAGAATAGTTGCATCAAGAAAATCTATGGTGCTCGAGGTAAAGCGTCCACTAAGGTTATGCTCCACATATCTAAGCTACCTCTTATGTCGGAACGAGTCAGTATACTACAGGCACAGTTCCTCTTTCGTTCCTTATATTTGCCAGAAGATGCACTGCTTGCTTGTCTGTTACCTTATATCCGCAATACCAAAGGAAGCCAGTGGTACGCTCTCTCTCGTACAGCGCTTTGGAAAACGGTGCTGTCTACTACTGAAGAACTCGATACTCGCTCACTCAAGGCTGCTAAACGACGCTTT